CCTAAATACTACCTTATCATACCCTTCCAATAAAGACAACCACAGCAAAGCTGTGAGTGCCCTTCCGTTCCTTGATCTCTACAGAAGATATCTTCAAACGAGACCACCACAAACAACCTACACACTCCTACCAACACCCGAATACAAAACTGCACACACACACACACACACACAAGCAGACACACCCAGCCAACCAACCAACTAACTACGCAGGCCTTACCGCTTCCTGCATGAACACCTCCACAGCCACTGAATCCAGGCTGTAGGTAGCATTCAGCTCCTTTATGGCCACAGGCGATGTGTGGTGGCCTGACGCGTCCGTTAAGATACAACACCACACCTCTCCATAGTTACCCCCTCCTAACCGTTGCACCTTCTTAAGCTTGCTGTACTCCACAGCCTCGTCACCTGAGCGAGCCTTCGCGCGTACTTGCACTGATATCGGATCGTTGATCTCTGCACACACACCGATGAGATGGCGAATACAGGCATTCGTGTTGTGAGAACACCGACAGCGAGATATGAATACGCTAAAAGCACTATAACAGGATAAGTATCATGAAGGTTTAATGATAACTTGCAGGTGCTGGGGTTCTGCTTGGATGTGTACATATGTGCGACAGGGTTGTGACCCAGACGAAGCACGACAACTAACAAAGCACTTGCAGTAAACCCTAAACCCTGATACATACTAATGCGTTCAACAGAGATTGCGGGAGATCGACGAGTGGATTGTCAATGTACGCTGATGTTATGAGAAAGACACGCAACGTATCATATACTGTACTACAAAGTCCAACACATGTCGTAAACTGATACTGAACTTCTCAGTGGTGTGAGCAGGGGATAACGTTGGGCATGCACTTTTTCTCTTTCCGATAAGCAGTGTAGAAGAGGTAGAAGCATTCTGAATGATACAATATACGACACACATATGTCGTAAACTATCAATATACTTTATAGCACGGTATGCGGGTGAATATACAACTCATTTATGGTCCACCTTCTTACGTTGCCTGATGTGAAACAAACGAGATGTATCTAATACAGCTTAAAGCTATATATATATACATGTA